GGGTGTGTGCGGCAGCGGCTGAGCGCACAGAAAACAGTGTGCGAGTTAAAATTGCTTGAATGTGTAAACTGGCAAGACAAAACATGTGCAAATGAAAAACTTTCACTCTATGATGGTTAAACTGAACAGTTAATCCGCGAATCACATGCGTGCCGAACCATGCAGCCTGATCCGTACGGATCACGGATCATCTACGATCCGTTGCACCCCTACAATTTATTAATTAAAGTATAACAGCATTAACACCTCAATTTGTCTCTGGCTCATACTCACGCATTAGGAGTACCCTGCTGTCCACAGAACTGCCCATAGCTGTCTGTCGGGTAGACCACTTTCCGGGGATCCCCATGCAACCAAGCTTAAAAAACATAACACAAGTCATGTCATCTGAATCATGTTTCTCAAATAAGTTTACCACAGATGCAATTCAAGCGTCATGCATTTCAAAAAAGATTTTATTTTTATTTTGCACCAGCAACCTCAGTATTTATGGCAACACTGAAACTACACCCACTGTTCCTGCTAAGACGGAACAGGCAGAAGCAAAGAGAACAAACATGTACAGATGCATGAAAAACAAACTAAAAATAAAGTGAAACCTCTTTATTTAATTCAGAGCATAAGAGGCTCTTTATGTAATTGAATACGAGTGATTTGAGTCCACAGAGAATCGAACACACTACAGCTCTGCGGAGAAGGATTCTGCCTGATGTTTTAATTTTCTCCACTCAAGTCTGCATTGAAAAGTGAATTTGAGCTTCAAGGGTCACAGAATGTCACCCTGAGCCTAAACCGGTCGCATGAGTTGTCAGTGCACTTCAAAGGGCAACAGAAAAGCCAGTCGTATTAATTTAGCCTAGTCAGGATTATACCGATAAGACCAGAGCAAAGTGAGATCAGCATGAGAAAAAAAAAAAAAAGCACTGTGGGAGAAACGGCGAGTCTTACACTACACAGACCCAATATGTACAGTTTGTACATTTTATATAATTACAATTTAATATAAATTAAATTGGAACATTTTAAACTATGTAATTTACTCCTGTGATGGCAAATCCGAATTTTAAGCAGCCATTTCTCCAATCTGTCATTTTATGTCATATTATCCTTCAGAAATCATTCTAAAAAACTAAAAAAAAAATTAAAATTAGATCCTAGAACTTTTGGGCGCTATTATATATATATATATATATA